TCTAAACTTAAAAGTAAGTACTTTTTTGATAGTACTGATAATAGTTTTACAAATTACAAGGTGGCTGTGGGAGGACTTCACTGTGTGAATCAGTGATTTTATTTATAGCAGCAAGTAATTTCAGGACAAGTTTGTAACTAGGTTTTAATGCCCATTGCAGGTAGGTTTTTTTGGGGTTTTTTTAAGGCCATAGGCTTCTTTCTTCTGTGCTTGACATATATGTAGCAAAATTGTTCAGAGAAGCTTGTGCCCTCTCTTCTGGGGGGCTCTCTTCACCCCATATCAGGGCACACAGACACTGTCACTCCATGTTCCTTTTGTGGGGTTTGCTTAAAGGACTTGATTAAAGTTCTCCCCATTCAACATTTCTTTATAAGTAACTGAATAAGTATATTAAATAAGTTCTGTTTTGTGTGATTGCAGAAAGTATTATCATCAGCTTCTTTGCCCAATGATCTGATGGGTTTCCTTGGACACTTGATATGAGAATGAATTAGTGATTAATCCTTAGCAGACGACAAGGATGAGAAGAACACAGTTGTGTTTGTGCAGTTTCCCTGGCAGTGCTTCTGTCCTGGTGTCACTCAGCAGATGAGATGCAGTTTCTCCTTCTTTCCCAAGTAACAGTTAGAGCTGATAAATGTTAAGCAGGCAGTCGATGCTGTCAGTGCACAAGATGGAAGATGTTGAACAGACCTGTGGTGCCAAATAAATGGTTCCTGCCTCCCTTTAAGCAGACAGATGAGTTGCTTCATTTCCTTCTAAGCAGCAGAACCAGTTGCCATGGACAGTGGGTGGAGGAGAGACCCCTTCCATTCATCCAGCTCTGCTTTGCATCCCTTCCCTGGCACTGGCACCAGGCAGGGGTGGCCCCTGCCCTTCCCTGGTGTCCAGCAGGCCAAGGAGGAGAGCAAGGGGACAGTTGTCATTCCCTTACATGGTTGAGACAATCTAACACATAATTTGCAGTTTCTCCTTGATGTTCTCATGACCCAAGGAGTTTACAAGGAGATTTGGCAGTGAATTAAACTCAGAGGGCCAGAAGGATGCTGCCAAGAAAGCAGAAGGGGCAATACCACATGAAGGATGGGAGCATGAAGGGGATTGGAATCCAGTGGCAAAACAGGCTGCAAATACAAGTGATTACCAAAGCTGATATTCTGTGAAGGGCCTGTTCCACATGGAATCAGAATAACTGAGGTGGGAAAGGACCTCTGGAGATCATCTGCTCCATTCCCCACACTCAGAAATCAGGCACAGGAGACCCAGGGGTAACAAAAGATTTGAGACACCCCTGGGAGGTGTGTGGATGCTGCACTCGTGTGTCAGACACAGCCCTGGGCAACCTGCTGGGACTCAGGAGTTGGATATAATCTGGAAATTGGCTTTGATTTGAGAAAGGGAATCGTACCAGGTACCCTCCCAAGATCTCTTCCAACCTAAGTTATGCAATGAATGTTTAGTATTAGAGGCATAATAATCTTGTAGCATTTTTTCTTATGAGCATTGTGGGGTGTTAATATTTGAATGGTTCTCAAAACCTTTTTGTATATTCTCTATACCTTGTTATAATTTAACCTGGTGTGCCTGACTAATTTTCCTTCAGAATAAGAACAGCAGAAGGTATTTTTTAATAATACTTATAAAAGAGAACGTGTGTTAACTGCCAAGTATTGTACTGGTGCTTACTAATTACTTTTCACAGAAACCTTGTTAGAATAGGTCAGTACAACTTTCATTTTAGAGACAAGGAAACAAATGGGAGAGTAAATGGTTTCCTTGAGGTCACAGTTACATGTCAGGGGTGTAGATGTCACTGAAAATGGTTTCCTTTGTACTTTCCTGTCTGTGCTGCCTCTCAGGAGAGGTTGAGTAGCAAATTGAAGGCAGCTTGTTTATGGAGGTGCAACAGAAAGTTAAAATTCAAGACAGATAAAATCTGCTGAGAGCAAGTCTTATGGGAATACTGACTTTTTACTGTGACATAGCTGAGTGCATAATTTTTTCCCACCTGTCTGCTGCTCCTCGTGGTGGTGATATTTTCTGAGTATATCTGAAAAGAACTTGTTGCTAAGAGGCAATTATGAATTAAACCTGGGAAAGCAAAAGCAGGGAGAAGCAAAAGCTCATATTTAATACATATATTCCTCTAGTGGTTTTGTTTGAGCAATTAAATGGGACAGAATTGCTGCATAGTGAAATGTCTGTTGCTTTTGCTGCTTGTTAAATATTATTCCTAAAAATAACAGTGTTGCTTCATCTAAATTGGGATCACATAAAATTCATAGCAGTGGAGCTTGTGACTGGCACTTGCATGTCTTCATAGTGATTCCTGTGGATCAATGCAAAGATGGATTCTCAAAAAATCAGGAGAATAAGTGGTGAGCACTGATACAATTAAAGTCTTGCCTCCTGTAAGAGCTTGTGGGGAGTTCCCAGTCCTTGGTCACTGTCACAGGGTGGCACATTCCAATGAATTTCCCATGACAGTAGTTTTTTCATCCCAAATACAATTTATCCTTTGCTTACTCTTAAGTATTTTAAAACTTGTGTGGATGCCTGAGGGCCGTGGAAAAGAGGGATTGGGAAGCAGCTCCACCTGGAGATGGAGCTCTGGACTAATCCCGGTCCAGAAGCAGAGCTGGAGGTGTATCCATGACCCGGGAAGGGGAACAGCTGCACCACAACAACACTTTGTGCAGCCTGCAAGGAACAGCAGCTCATCAGCTAAGCCTTGGCCTAACTCCATCCTGAACACTTTCTAGCACTTAATGCTGGAAAGTATAGAAAACATGGAAAGGAAGAGAAAACAAGCTGTAGATGCAGGTGGTGTTGTCAAATAGAGATCTCTTACTAATGGCACAGCTTTATTTTATCTCATTTCTTTTCCCCATGAGTCTCTGGATAAGGATATTGTCAGATACCCCTGGAAGGTTTTGTTGGATGGGATAGGAATTAACATTCTTTACCCTCACTTTGAACATTTATTCTCTTAAAAATAATGTACCATGGAGAAAGTGTGCTTTTGCTTCAAAAACTGCAAAGAAATTAAGGTTAAAAGAAATTCTTCCCAAGTGAGGACAAAGCATCTTTGAAAACTGACTGTAGCCTTGTTCAGTGACCCAGAGACCCCAGCTGATGGATATGGGACCAATACACAAGGAGCTGTAAGATACCATATATATGAAGACATATTTATTAAAGAAAGGACTTAAAAGACATTCTGTGTAGCCAAAAAATCCAGTTTCACTGGCTTAAACAATACACTGAACCTTGTCCCACTCTGAATTACTACAACTTCTAGAAAGAGATCAAACAAAACAGCTTGAAAGTCAGTTTAAGGCAAAGCTTTGGGTGAGTAGGTGAGGGATTGATATAACAAAGTACTTTGATGATGTTGAAATAAGGTTTAAAAGGAAAAAAAAATTATGACACAGGGACTTTGTATGAAATCCTTGAGGGCAGCACTCACTGCAACACTTGTAGGGTAGGAGCATGTTGCCTTCATTTAGCCTTTCATCCAGAAAAGCAGGACACCAAGGTGGAAATGAGCTGTGCATATGAATGACTCTGCTCTTTACATATGTAAAGCTTTACCCATTATTGATGTGCAGCCACAGGAACAGGAGAGTATGATATGACTTGTGCTTGGCAGCTGTGAAAGACTCTGAACTGCATGAGGTTTAGATGTGAGCTGGAACTCAGTGTGAAAGGGACTCAGGGGCTACTCCCAAAGACTGAATTCAGAGATTAGTGGGTAAACTGAGCTCCATAAAGCCAGCCTGGTTCTGTCCCAGTCTCCCACATGTGCTGCAAGCAAAGGAACTTCTGGATCTTTTGGATCACTTATAGAAGAGCAAACCAGCTACATGCCCATTCTTACAGTGGAGATGGGGTAATGGTTGGATGGGGTAAGGGTTGGATGGGGGAAGTTTATCTTGTGCAGACTCTAAATAGGCATCTAAGTGTTTCATTTTGCCTGATTGCATCCCAGGCACAGTTAGATTGGCAACAGGAGTTCCCTTTGATAACCTTTGAAACGAACTTTAATTTGAACAGTGGGAAAAAAGCCCGAGTAGGGACAACACAAGCTATTGGGATAAAGCAGCTGTGCAGGTGAGCATTCCTTGGTTCCTCAGGAGAACCGGAGCCGTCCCGTGGAGTTGCGTCAGTTCGGAGTCAGTTGCTGAACATCAAACTTGTTTGTTCTCAGAAGAGTTTAATAATGTGGAAGTGCAGAGGGCTCCATTCTGCTGTCTCATCCGGTGGGATGCCAATGTACCTCTGCTGTCACATCAGAGTCACTGCATTTCACCTGGATGCCACGTGAGGCCCGGAGAGCCCCGAGGCAGGTGGGGATGGTCAGAGCTTGGGCAGGATGGGGCACAGCAGGAAGCACTTGCATTTCTAAAACAATTCCCAAGGCAATGCACTGATGGAGTGGCTCTTTCTAAGGAAAGTGAATTTGTACATGACTGATACACAACTGTAACCTGACTGAACAGTGAGTGATCAGAGCAGGCACAGAAAGCAATAGCAAATACTTGGTACAATGCTGAGAAACTGCCACAGGTGCTTGTAAACCTGCTGAGCATTTTGTCACTGAAGACTTTTTGAAGACTTTAGTACTTCCTCCTTCTTTGGTCTAAAATTAGAGCCAAGACTAGAAGGGGAGCAGGGAGGAAATCAATACACTTTGATGACAGTCACTAGAGCTGCACTTTTTTACTTGAGGCAACTAAGAACTGGCTTCAGACGTTTTTGGCTTCCTCCTGCCTTTTATAAACAACAAGATACAGTGGAATTACATCTCCAGCTTTGCAGCACAAAGGATTAATGTATGTTTTAAACAGTACATAAAGCTGTCAGAGTGCAGCATAAGCTCATAACAGTTTGTGTGATGACCTGTGGGCTCTCAGGTACTGAGACAACAGCTAAACTTGTGTGGAGAGAGCTGAGAGGCAAACTCCATGTCACTGATTAAATATCTGTCTTTACAGGCCGGGTTTCCTTTTTCACCTCTGGGTCGGAGAACCTTCACCGTGTGGAGAAGGTTCACTGGGGCACTCGCTTTGCCATCACCATCTCCTTCACCTGCAACCCAGAGCACGGCATCGGGGATCCAGTCCTGGTGTGACTCCTCTGGGGATGGAGCACGAGGGCAAATGGAAGGAGAGAAGCCCTGCAAGAGGAGAGGAAAAAGGGAGAGAACATCTCTTGTTACCCCACATTCAATCAGAACTGCCCAGCTGTATCAGCAGATTGTAATACACTTTGTTTTCACGTGACCTTTTCCTTAAGGACCATCTCAGATTTGATGCATTCTGAAAATGGTTTGTTCTGTCCCAAAGGGACAGGCTACAAAGAAGAGTTCTTGAGTGGGCTCTTCATTTTTTTTTTAGTACTATTTTTTAAAAATTCTTCAGTTTAAAAGATACAAACCGTCTTTTGGGCCATGCCTTGATATGTCTCCCCATGCTGCTGTTACCTGTTTAATTCTTTAGCCTTTTCAGTTACTCATGTGATGTAGAAAGTTTAACCTAAGTTAAATGAGCAAGGTGAGTGTTATTTTGAACACACATTCTGTTGAGAGGAATGGATTCTCCTGAGCATGGGCATTAGTGGGCAGTACACCTGGGGTTTGGCTACTGGGACTTACTTGAACTTCTGTTTTAACTGAATTACTACTGTTTTTTGCTACAAACAGGGACTAGTTAATGCAAGGTCAGGAATACAATTCTCTGGCCAGAAAGCCTATTGCTTTTGGAATGCAAATGCTTTGTGCAGGGAATGTCACTGCACTAGATCCCTTTGATCAGAATGCAGCATTCCCAGCTCGCCTTGTTTCCTTTGGATCTCCATGAAAATGATCAGTCTGCTGGTTGGAAGCCCAGTGTTAGGGTTATTAAGAGCTCTTCATGGAGATGGTTTGACCCTGTAACCCTGTACATTGAGTCAAAATTCAAAAGGAGAGCTGGGCAGAGGTAACCAATCCTCTGGATTCATCTAAGAATTCCTCATTACCCAGTGCCCAGGAAGAGCTGTGGGTTGGGAGGGGAACAGGGAATAGTTTTGTTGAGATTTGCCATAGGCCCGTTCTGGCCTCCTTAGACTCAGTCCTGCAAAGCCTGACTTGCTGCCTGGATCACAAAACCTCCTGGGCCTGTGGGCTCTGAGGGAAACTGGTGTCCACCTGCAGTTCAATTGTGTCCAAAGCAATGTTTTATCTGTTTCAGAAAGTCTCTCAGTAGCTATTTTTGGACTTCTCTTTTTCAGTTTAGTATGAAGACTTTTTTTCTGTTGACTAGGACCAATGGTATTCCCTGGATAATAAACTGCAGGGGCTTCAAAGAAGAGGAGCTGTGTGATTTGCAGTGCAGATAAAGGAACAAAGTGTAATCTTGCCAACTACCTTGGTTTCTTCCTGCAGTCAAGGATTTCTGTTGTGGGTCAGGGAATTGATAAATAAACTGTAGGAAAACCTAATTTTTTTTCTCAATCAAATTCTGAAGCAAATGTTGATCTGTTTTATTCCTAGGATGTATTAATTTCTATGAAAAACTGAAAATCTGGGAATGTGCTTTGATTTTTAATTTTTAAAAAAAAATTCTATTCATATAGTTTTGATTCCTTAATCTACCTTTTTATGGAAATAATAAGTATTGGGGGGATTACCCTGCAGATCAGTATAAAGAGGAATGGTGACAGGACACCTGGCCTTGTGAGTGCTCTCACTGGGCACACCAGCAAGATTAGGCCTCTGTCATTTCATTTCTTTGTTCTCAAACCTGAAAAAGGCTTCCTTGTCTGTGCTAACAAGGAAGGATTGTTTAAAATGCTGGATGCAAGGAAACAATAAAAGCCAATTGGGTTCCATATTGAAATCCTTGCCTCAAAGCCTGTTTATTCCAAGAAATTTGAATTACACCCAGGTTTTAAGTCTGTGTGAAGGCAGACCAAGATCACCAGCAACTGCTTTACTGGATTGAAACTCGACTGCTCACATTGCTTTGGGATTCAAATGTGCCTTTTCCAGAAAAACATCTGCCAGCAGTGGAATCTAAACATGAATGGAGCTGTGTGATTCACGCTGGGTTTCAACCCAAAATCCTTACTTCACTATAAGGTTATTGCAGCCCTGGCACTGGAATTGCTGTGCCACTTGTCCAGGTGTTTGCTGCTCATTCCTGGCTGTCATGCAGGCTTTGAGGGGCACTTTTGGAGCTGCCCTCTATAAAATCCTGCTCTGCAAAGGTCATCTCAGACTGTGGGGGAAGTCTCAGCTGATCTCCTCTTGAGTTTTCATCTTTGGCAGATCCTGGTGTCTCCCACAGCTGGTGCATCTCTCCTGCTGGGAACTGAGTGAAATTCAGAAACAAAGTCAAGCTGCTATTTGTCTTTGGGAGTCTTTAAGCTTCAGTAATCTGGTCAATATGATGAGCAAACCTGTCACCTGGAATTTGCTGGATAATTGTCTGCTGCACCCGCTATGAGAATTTCTTTGGAAAAGAAGCACAATAATTCCATATGCTGTATGTTTTAGTCCCACTGAGATTCTTCTGTCTGAAGCTTCAATATCTGGACTACAAAAAGCAATATCTAGATCTTGGAAGAATTTAAATGGCAAATGAGGAAGTAAAATGCAATCTAAAAGTTTCTGAATGCAGCCTACAGTAGGAAACCAGTAATTGCAGAAAGGATGATGTTCCTGGGGCAGAGTGGAAGTTGCAGAATTCACTGATCATTACAAATCAATTTGGCTTAATTTATTTTAGGCCCCTTAAATACCCTGAATCACGTTTTATTAAGGGTCTCTCTTCCCAGTTCTTGACAGATAATTCTGAATGTGAAATACCTGAATTTCTTTCTGTCCTCTCTGTGGTTCAGCTGCCCTTTGCTACTGGGAACTGCAGGACTCTGGTTCTTAGATTAGGCCCAGGACAGGATTTGTTCTGTTCAAGTAGCACAAATCTGATGCCAAGCTGCTGCAGAGAAGTGCTCTTAATTAAACACATGGTGATGGCAGAATGTGGCTTGATGGTTCCCAGTTGTGTGAGGACCTTTTTCAAAGAGAAAGGTCAGCACTTGTGCAGTGTGAACTGGGGCTGAGTCCTGATGGTAAAATTACAGCCTTGCACCTGAAGGTGTACGTGCTGCAAGTATTTGGGAACGTTGATTTGTACTTTGAAAGGAAATTATTTGTAAGGAAAAGGTGTGAAAAGTCCCAGGGTGAAATGGAAAACAGAGCAGGAGAGCAAGCCAGATTTGAATCCCTACAAGAAGACTGACTGAAGCCTCTTGAGGACTTCTGTGAAGTGGTGCTGCTTCTAAAACTAATTTCCATTCAAAGGTTTTGCAGAATATCTGGAACTTTTGAAAAATGAACAGGTATGTGACTGGATGATGTTTTCAGTGTAAACCTCCCTTTCATTACTGTAGCATTGTAGGAACTTCCTGGCATTTCTCAGGTATAACATTTTCATTGTCAGGCAGCTGTGGAATCACAGGTTTTAATTCCCCTGAAGGTTTGGAAAGGTACATTTACGTTGAGATTTTCCTGAATATGGATTATCCCCCTGGAATAAACTGCGCTCCATCTTAATGAATGTCAATCCAGAAATGTTTACAAGGGTAATCTATTTACAAAAAGATTTTAATTTGGATTTATAGCAGAAATTTAGCTTCCTGTCTTACTTATTTTTAAGGTCAGCATCTCAGCCAGGTGCTTTCTGAGGCTGTAGCACATAATGATGTGCACATTAAAATAAATGTAGCTGAAATGGCATTGATGATGACTGTGCTGTCAAGGAAATCTGGTTTTGTTTCTTCAATTGCAATTCTCAGTACCCTTGAATGTCTCCTTTAATAGCTTTCCTTTCCCTGGTAAATGAAGATGACATTGTTTTTAATGTAATAGTTCCTCATGTTCCTCCCACATCCAGATATCCTTGCACAGTATTTACAGGAGAATTGGTTCTCTCTGACATGCTCATGTGGAGCTTTGTGCAATACTTTTGTCCAGATTCTAGGAATTAACCCAGGAGATGCTGCTGGAGGTCAGGGCTCTCTGAGTGGGGAGGAATAAATACAACCAACCTCCCTCCTCCAAAGAAAAAAAAAAAAAAGAAAAAATATATCCCAACTCCTGTCTCTCCTTTTTGAGTCTCTGGTGTGGAAATCCAAGCAAAAACATTCCAAGAGCAGCAGAAGAGTTATTTCCTCTCTGAACCACAGATGGCTCTGGCACATGGATGGTCTCAGCCTCATTCAGGAAGGCAGATCAGTCATCCTGGGAAACCCAGCTCAGAGTCGGGCCTGGAGTGGTGAGGAATCCTCTGGTGAGTGTCTGTTGCTCCTTCTAAAACACCAGCAAGAGCTGTAACATCTCTGCCTTATCTTGTTTTTTGTAAACATTCTTAGGAAGCTGAAAGCTAATTTTAGATCATGTTTGCTGAAACCTGCCAGTCATCTCTCTTTTGCTGATCGTTAATTTATCCCCAGAGTATCTGTGTGGGCATTTTTTATCTTCCACGTGAGTGTTGGTGACTTCAGGCTGCACTGTGCAAAGAAAATAACTATCCTTTCTCCAAAGTGCACATCTTTGTGTGCATCAGCTCCCCTCCAATCCCTCATTTCATATCTCACTTCTCTCCAAACACAGCTCAACTTATACATGTAGCAAGAACTGAACAGGGTATAATAGTCCATTATTTATCCATTGACTGCCTTGCTGGGGCTGAAGAGGAGCTGGCTTTTTCCTCTGACCCTTTTAGCCCACGTGGGGCATTAATCTTTAAGAAGAATTCCTAACTCAATTTTTAAGATTTCTCATTATTCATTTTTTTCCAGCTACTCTCTTATTTTTCTTCCACTGAAGGCATTGTCCATATTCAAACCACCACCCTTTATTTCAGAGATGTTTCTTTCCATCTTGCCTGTTTTCCTGTAAAGCTGAAAGAATGACAAGGTAGGGGTCTGTTGTTGAGCACTCTTGTCTTTCATGATACCTCGTGGACAATGAGCAAGGAGTTCTGAACCAGAAGCTACAGAAAGCAGGTCAGAGCTTGGGACCACAACAAGAAATACCTTGCTTGAATAGTTCTTACTGTGGAATCAATAAAGCAGCTTGGAAGTACCAATCCCTTTATTTTTGTAACCTTTAGGTGCATCTAAACAAAGGAAAAGTATCAAAACAGCTGGGTTTAGTGCTGGATAATCCAGAGGCTGCCCAAGGGATCTGTGCTGGTGGAATCTATGAGTTGCCATGTCAGATTTATTGTTCATAATGAACTGCACTGAGACCTTCACCTGAGACTTGAAGCTGAAGCTCAGTGATGTGAAGCACAGAAGGAGCACGTGCCTGAAACCACAGCAGCTCTTTTTGAAAGAAATATTCTATTTAATATTCTATTTATAGAGAAAAGCTTAGATTTGTGGAGCTCGTGTTACTTATTTCTGGGAATTTCTTAACACAGGCCTCCAGTGTCCAAAAAAGCTCGTTTTAGATGTGGATAGCCTTCCTATTCTTTTATTAACAACCAAAAAAAAGCACCAACTAGGTTCCTGAGGCTTGATTTTTCTGGACAGACACCTTGAAGACTTGTCTCTTTCTCTTTCCTCAGTTTATACAATTATTTTAAGCTGTTTATGTAGGTGCCTGGACACTTTGCTGCTGACTTTACAGAAAAAAATCCTACTGTTTTCCTTTGAGAGTGCTTTTCACTGCCAGGGGAAGGTTTCTGGGTGGATTCCTACCTTGGAGGTGACCTCCTCAGCATATTAACTTGACAGCCAGACCATTAAATCTTGGGGGAATAAACAAAGGCAGGTCCTAATGGAGTCACTTTGCATGTCTTGGCTCTGGATGGTGGTTCCTTCCATTCCCTCTAGCAGACAAATGTGTTTATTTCTGATTTATATTAGTGAGGAGGAGACATGTTCTGGGAGTCCTCCCTGCATAATAGGGCTTTAATTGTGATTCACTGAATAACCTCATAAAAAGAAGGCCACATTTTACCAGGTGATTCAGAACTTAAAGGCTGCTGTGAAGTAACAAACCTCGAGCCCATTTAGTCCTTGCACTTCTCAACACAGAAGCAGTGAGAGAAGGGATCGTGCACTTAGATTATTTCAACTTCACTAGGGGCCATAAATGTGTGTTTTCTTATTGGTTTCTTTATTTTAACGGAAAATAAGAAGTTAATTTGGGAGTCATTCCTTTCCACAGGGATGAATACGATCAAAATAATCTGTGCTTTACTGGTATGGAAACAGAAATACAACAGAAGTAAGTCAAGCAGAGGGGTAAGTTAAATTTCAGACTCTGTTAGGCAGGGAGCAGCTGCAGGAGATTTCTCCCACACTGACATATCTGTGTCAATTTAAATTGACATTTTCTCCTCCTCCTCACTCTGCTGAATTGCTTCATTAGAAGATCAGACAAAGAGCTGCAAACTGAGAGTTTTGAGGCAGCAAAGCTCTTGCTGGTAAAACCTTCCATAAAACTTTCAACAGGACCTCTTCCTCAGTACCATTTACTTCAGCTACTTGTCCTGGCCATCAGGTGATATATGTATAGCATCTATTTTACTTTTTCTGAAACTAGGCAGAATTTAGACCTGTAAATAAGAAATAATCCAAGATGACATTAAAACTGAATTAATAAAGACATCTACAGAAAGTTTCTCTTTAGGGGGAAAAAAAAGGTTTGAAAAATTTGGGGTTTTTGGAACTCTTAAAAAAGAACGGTTTTACTGATTTGTTAATCCTTTAGTTGGGGTGTAGGGAATATGCACCTGCTCTTCAGTACTCTCCACTGAAGTCCTACTCTGCTTTTCCATGCTTTAACAGTATCTGGAAATCCAGTCCTGTCCCTGCTCATTTTCCCTTTCCAGTTACACATTTTGATGGAGATCTTAATCCATTCAGACCACGAGCAGGCAGGAAGCAGCTCACTCTCTGCCTCAGCAGCAGCACAGAATAAATGCCTGTGGATTTCTCAGGAAGGCTGTTCCCACCTCAGAGTGCCCAGCTGAAAGCACAGCTCGGGATGAAGAAATGAAGACTCACTCCTGTCACATTTATTAGTGCCTTGAAAGTCTTCCATCATCTCAGCTGCTGCCTCTCTGAGCCTTTTCCCCTCAACAACTGCAACTTGAGACCTCTGGGCTTTGTTTTCTCGATGCTTGTAGCACCTCCAGATGGCTGTGAGGCAGTGAACTCCAGCATGCTGCAAAAAGTATCACTTTCAATACAAGTTATAAACACCTTTTGACTCTGTGGCTAAATTTTCACATAGGCTTGGAGAATTTGTGCTCCTCCTAATCATTCTCCTTAGATTAAATACTTCAGCCATAAAGCATGCACGGAAGGGCAGCAATCAAAAGCCTCTCCATAGCTGAGTTGTACAGGGAGACACTTCTGAGATGTTCAGGGCTAAATTAATGATTCTGTCCTCTGGTCAGGCTTTGTGATTTGCAGGATCTGGGGGTGAGGCAGAAGGGAAGGTGTTTGATGGCCTGACCCTGGAGTGGGAGGTGTAATGGTTTTGTAATTGTGGGTGCACTTCCAAGGCAATAAAGTTACGAACATGGCAAGGTCATTAGGAACAGCAACAGCCTCTTGTTAGACCATTTGACAGAATGGCGAAAAAACCAGAAATCTTTGAGCCTTAAAGCCTTGTTTTTAATGAATGAAATGCAATGAATAAGCCAGTGGGTCAATTAACTTTAAAACCATTGTTATTGTCTGCCTCTACCCTGCCCATCAGCTGGACAGGGTTAGTGACCTTGGTTTTATTTCCTTCCAGCTCGGATGGATGTGCAGGGGCTGGATGTGCAGCTGGAAGAAGACTCAGTCACTGCTTGCTCCAGACACCCACAGCTACTTCCCAAGTGCAGATGAGGGCTTGTTTGTACTACAGAGGAGACAAAGGTGGGAATAGGACTAAGATACTCCAAATCTTTTAAATAAATATGATTTTAGTTTTCTAACACTGACGCCACACTTGCTGAATGCATTCTGAGCAGTCCAGCTGCACCAGACTGTGTCACTTAGGGATTTTCCAGTTGTTTTCAAGGCCCTGAAAGGGGAGGACAGCCTGTGTACATCTGAGCCAGCTTTAGTCATGGAGCGTGCCAGGGGTTCAGGTTTGCATCAGCATGACAAGTAAAATCTGTCTCTAAATTAACAGCCTTGAAATTGCAGAATTACCATTTTGTTGGTAAGAACGCAGGTGTGGAAAGAATGCTTGACTTAATGAGCTTATCTAATCTCAGTCTCCTCCAGAAGTACTAGCCTGACTGTAAATATTAAAGTTCTTTTTAGAGATAATAGCCAGGAATGCTTCCTAACCACATGAGGATTTACCATTCCTAAACAGCTAAAAAGCTGAAACTAATCTGAAGTATGAAAACTCCATAAAACTGAGTATTTTGCAACTACTGTGCTGGGCACGTCAGCCAGCCCAGGAGGAGCCTCAGGTGCTGTTTGCTACTCCTCTGTAACCCTGCAAAATAAGTTTCAGGTTGTTATTATTGTCCCTGGGTGAACTGCAGACTTTTTCTAGTCTATATCCTTCCTGGGGACATCTGAGAGCAAGGGAAGGCTCCTGCCAGGGCGGTGCCACCAGACCCCTCCGGTGCCCGGGGGTGCTCCCGGGGTGTCGGCTCAGCCGCACGGCTCCTCTCCAGAGACAGTTACTCTAAACACTGGAGCTGGTGTTTATCCTCGGGGCCAGGACTCCATCAATTTGTCCAGTTTATGTTGGGAAGAGACAGTAAAACTGATGCTTACAAGAATTCTGTCTGCACCCGCTCCAGCCAAGAAAACCCTCGCGTCCCTCGGCGGTGGGACCACCCCAGGAGGAGGTTTGGGGTCTGGTGAGGGCTGGAGGGTTTGCTCTGGCTGTCAATACAAAAGGCAGTGACAGCTGGGATGGGGAGGACACATCTGGAGACTCCAAGAGGTGGTGGCAGCAGAAGAGACCCTATGGGGGGATTGGGAGATAATAGTTGGGATTTTCTGTGGGACTCGGCAGGACACTGCGGGTGGTGGGAAGAGTGAGTCCTCCTGCTGCTGTAGAGGTGCTGAGAAGGAGCAGATGCTAAATGTGGGTAACACTGAGTGCTGAACAAGGTCTGACATCCCAAATGATACTTGATAGGAATTGATACCACATGGATAAACAGGATGGGGAAAGGTAAACTCACTGCTGGCTCAGGGACTTTGGCAGAGGGTGGGAACCCTTCACCAGCAGAGACTGGAATAGCTTTGTAGAGACACCTCACACAGTATTGAGAATTGAGATCAGTCTGCAGCCCTTCTCCAGCCATCCTTTGCTGACAGGGCTCTGTAGTTGTTGACTTTTTGTAGCTTCTTGGGTAAGGAAAGGAGGCTGATGGGAATTCGTGCTGCCCTGGTGTGCCACGGAAAGATGCTTTGACAGGGACACTTAGCAGGAAGAAAAGATCCTGACAGCATTGCTGTCATCCTCCTCCCAGCACATTACCCCCAAAATCCAGCAGAGAATTTAGGGGAACAGAGGAGTCTGTGGCTACCTCAGTGCCCAACATCCACAGAAACCTGGGAGATGCCCAGTGGGAAGTCACTTGCCTGGTGCAAAGCAGCTGCTTTATTGATGTACTATTTAATTGTTTTGCTAAAGCAGCTGTCTCTGCCTTATTAATTTAGAAGAAATGACTGATTGAAGAGAAAACACTAATCCTAACCCAGACTTTACCTTGATTCTTTTTCCTTTGGGGCAAGGAGAGAATATCCCGTAACACTTCTCTACTTGAAATCACAGGGTCTCTTGAGGACTTGCCTTATGCCTTGTCCTCTTGTTAAGAAAAAGGGATTTTTTTACAATCAACCAGATCCCACCAGGAGCTTCCTCATCTCCTCAGCATCCCAGACTCAGAATGGACGAGCCCTGTTAATTTAGAGCAGTCAGACAAAATATTCAGTTGAGGCCCCAGTGGAGTACTCGAGGAGTTACCATTCCACATCATTTGTCCTGCCTCTGTGAGAGCTACAACTCTTGACAGGTTTGGATTCCATTTCATTTCATTCAACAATTTTGTAACCATGGGTAACAGCACAACTGATGTGGCTCTGTGCTGCTGCAAGGAGGCTGTCGAGGTTGTCAGGTTTTAAAATCAACCTGCTTTGATGACTCTTCTCTTCTGCAGCATTGACCTTATGGAGTCTGCTCTGAAAAACCCATTTAAAAATTCTTTTCCTTTTTTTTTTTTTTGCAGCATTTGAACTGAAAGCAAAATAGAAGAAGTTCATGGATACCTTTGTAAAACACTGGTATGTTGCCAGACATGCGAGATCTGGCTTGTTCTAATATCTTCTCCCTAACAGAAAAAAATAAGTTTACTTTGTTCTGAAGTGTATTATGAAGGATGAGGCTCAGAACAGACTCTTCCTTCCTTCCTCTGACAGACAGGAGTGGAGGGGCCGCGACCTCTTGGAGTCTTTAAACCATTTGTCACTTGGGAGTGCAAAGGGGCTTTGCTTTTTCTTTTTTCTTCTTTCTGAACATCTGCCCTTGACTTCTGTGCTTCATGTCCCCTTTTCATGAGCATGTGTCAGCTGGTGGCCACATCCTAGCAGCATTTACACCCCACTGACTGTGCATGAGGACTCTACTGTATTAAAATAATCTAAGGCAAAGGATAAAAGCACTTAAGCAACAAGCCCAAAGCAAAAGAATTATTTTAAATCCACTAAGTCGTTGTTTTAAATAAAGTTGTGCTCATCTTGAGTCAAATGCTACCTCCCACTGAAGTCCTTCCCTCAAAACTCTCCCCAAAAGTCCTCAGTTACAAGCCTCCCTGAATTTGCATATGGATATTTGACATTCTTGGGACAATAGTAGAGACATAGCAGTAAGCTGTTAACACTTTTTTTTGTCTTGAGCACTGTCTTGAAGACTCCCCAGAGCCTCTGGAAATCAGTCCAAGCTCCGGAAAGCATCCCCTGGGTGCTAAACCTGCTCTCTAAGCTTTAAATAGTCAAAAACCTCCAACAGAAGAAACACGTGCACAGCAACTGTGTTAGACCAGCAGCAACAGAAAAATGCTGAGGGCTCTAAGGATTTTCTCCTGCTCACACTTTCTGAGCTCTGTTACATGCTCAGACTTTGCTATTCGGTCAATTTTTTAAATTGGATGAGATTTTGGTCCCCAAAGTACCTGAGCACTTACAGGTGAGTTGTTTCTAATTAAACATCCTGCTGGAGACTGATGGCAGCTTCAGAGGGATCTTAATGAATGTGAAGCCAAATGTGGAGGGTCAGAGCTGGCAGGGAACAAAGCCATGACACCACGAGGTGAGGGGCAGAGTGTTCCTGCTTCCCCTGGCAGTGCAGGTAGGCAAAGGTTCCCAAATGTGGGGAAGGTGAGCACTGTTCTGGAAGGCTAAATTTAGCAGTGATTAAATGAGCTCTTAATTAACCAAATAGTTCTGCTGCTTGCCTTTCCAAATTATTCAATAACTGAACAATTGTAATGAGCTCAGTACATAATTACCATCCATTCCAGGCACTGCCCTCACCAACTGCAGCCTTTGAACCCACCAGCTGTTAACGTGGGAGTGAAGTGCACCAGGTGTGAGTCAAATAATTGAAAACTGAACAGGAAAAAACCCCACAGGTTCCAAGGCAGTGTAAGGAAAATGCCCCCATGCTGAGCCTGTAACTGTGTCATCCCTTCCAGATTGAATATCCATCATAAAAATCATCATTGTGGGTCAGAGCTGCAGGACTACATTTTCATGGGTGCTCTGGCAAGGATGTAAATGTTCCTGATGGTTGTTCTGCCTCACAAAGCTTCACAGAGCCTCCCTGGGGGCTAATGGGCAAGTCTAGGTGGGGAAGCCACCACCTTACTCACTGACCAGAAAGGGGAAAGCAGAAGGCAAAGCCCAAACCCTCTGAGAACACAAAAGATATTTCCAGCTGCAGCGGGGTAGAAGTTGTTTGGATTGTGAATTCAGCCATTTATAGGTCTTGGTTTGACTGGTCTGTTAAACAAGAACAAGCTCAGGTGTATTGAAGCTTTTCGCCCATGATTTTTAAAACACATTTGAAGATGTTTCACAAACACTTCTTTTCACGGCTCATCAGTTGCATCAGTTCAACTGCCTGGGGGAGGGCAGGGAACCTGATCAGGACACGAAATAATTACTTTCGATTGGAAAAAAAACCAAAAAACCAAAAAAACCCAGTGCTATAAAGTAACACGACTTAATCCTTTAAAACTACAAGGCTGTGAAACCAGATGTACCAGCTTCACTGAGGGGACAGAGGAGTGGAAGGTGGAGTAAGGTTAAATCATATTCCTGGCTGTCAGACAGAAGTTGTCTAGCAGAGTGGAAGGATTTGCGTATAGCAGTCCCCATTGCAGGAACGTGCCAGCTTTCTGATCAGGTTGTGGAGATCAGTAGAGCCTTCTGCCTTCTATGTGGGCAACCTGAAACAGCTCTGAAATGCAGGAGGTAAGAAATTTCCCCAAAGCCTTGAAACTCTCCCAGGGTATCAGAGTGTGATGGGTGGTGGTTTTAGCTGTGGAGCAAAGCAAGGGTGGAGCAGAGTCCTGGGAGAGGCTGTGGATTGTTGCTGAGAAGGAAATGTAACAC